CCCAGCCTCCGCAGGCCACAGGCCACGCGAGGCCACGAAAGGCTGTGAAGAGGGCTGAGACCAGTGCTGCATCCCCTCTAGCTTCTTTTACTACTCACTTCGTGGACAGAACGCTTCACACATTGTCAACCCATGTGAGACTCTTGTCTCTTATTAACACCAAAAAGCCAGAAGTGGAGCTATGGCTCAGGTAGTATGGTACCAGACTTGAACAAAAACAGCTAAGAGACAGGTCCTGAGTTCAAGGACCAGTACTGACACATACACACAAAAATACGTATATGCCCTTTTCAAATAATGGCTGAGTCTACAGAATGCAGAAGCATCACAATGAACCCACTACTTTCCCAAACTGACTTTTCCTTTTCTTTAGTCAATTGCTAAATGCAGTCTTTTAATTTATGACTTAACAATGCAGAGTTGTATCCTCAAGTCAACATATATATCTAAATCTTGGTCTAAGCTTATGCATGTGTGCCTATACACAGCTGAAATACATTACAGGGTATAGAATAACAGATGCTAGAGACAAAAATTGCTTTATTTTTTTTAGACTGGATCATACTATACAGCCCAAACTAACATCTAACTCACTATATAGCACAAGCTGGCCTTGAATTCAAGATCTTCTGTCTCCATCTCCCAAGTGCTAGGATTATAGATGTGTAACACACACACACACACACACACACACACACACACACAGAGTTTGAGGCAGCCCAGACAAAACAGTTACTGAGAAGACTCAACAAAAGAGTTGGGTTCATGGAGGTGGTGCACCTATAATTCCAGCTATAGGCAAGGCATAAGAAGATCACAATTTAAGGCTGACTCCAGGCAAAAACTTCCAAGATCTTGCCTAAAAATTAAATAAAACAAAAAGGCTGTGTGTAGGGTTCAATTGGAAGTGCCTACCTAACAAACACAAGTCCCTGAGTTCAAGCACCAGTACTGTCCAAAAGAGTGGCTATGAGTCTGTGCGTGCGTGCGTGCATGCATGCGTGCGTGCGTGCGTGCGTGCGTGCGTGTGTGTGTGTGTGTGTGTGTGTGTGTGTATTGGTACTGGGGCTTGAACTAAGGGCCTGGGCATTGTCTTTAGCTTTTTAGCTCAAGTCTTGCTCTACCATGTCTGGCTTTTTGGTGGTTAATTGGAGATAAGAATCTCAGGGACTTGCTGCCCAAGCTGGTTTTGAACCACAATACTCAAGACCTCAACATCTTTGTAGCTAGAATTATGGATGTGAGCCACTGGTGCCCAGCAGGTGCTGGCTTTTCAAAGCTACACACTCTTTAACCAGTTGTGTAGAAGGGAAAGACCACCAGGGAGGACCACACAAACACGAGTACAGCCAAAAGGAAGTCTTTATTACCATCCAGGACTACACTGGGTGTACAAAAAAGTGCAGTGTCCAGTCTGGTCTCATGCCCCACCCCCTTTTTTGTTGGTCATGGGGCTTGAACTCTGGGCCTGGCCACTGTCCCTCAGCTCTTCAGCCTTCTACCACTTAAGCCACAGCCCACTTCTGGTTTTCTGGTGGTTAATTGGAGATAAGAATCTCAAGGACTTTCCTGCCCAGGCTGGCTTTGAACCGAGATTCTCAAATCTCAGCCTCCTGCGTAGCTAGGATTATAGGCATGAGCCACCAGCACCCTGCTCATGGCCCCTTTTAAGGCAGAAAAGCCCAACCCATCCCCCAGTAGCTCAGGGGAGGAAAGTAACTAATGGTTCTTTCTTGCAGGTACAAGCCAAGCATGAAGTAACAGAAGCTAAAATACTATTGTAAGCAAGAATGAGCAGGCTAAAACAATGCTGTAAGCAATCATAAATGGGGTAACCTGACAGTTACCATGGCATTTCTAGACTACTATGATCATTTTTATAACTCATTAATATGATCATTTCCACAACCTGTTACTATGATTGCTATCTAGAAACAGAAAGAGACAAAGGCTACATCTATTTTTAAATGTCAAACTATGAGGAACTAGTCTCATAGGTGGGGCTGCAGCCCTCTTAGATGGCAGAAAAAAACAAAATAGAGTCATGGAAGCTAAAAGTAAACTCTAAGCTGGTGAAATTTTATGAGCCTTATTACAGTTGCATGTGTACACAATCAAAGTCTTCTTACCACATCAAAACAGGATGGCCCCTCTGATCTGACACAATGATAAAGTCTCTTTGTTCTTGGTTGCTTCATCATAGGACATTATCTTCTTGCCATTTCTCATACCTTTGTCAATATAAATTTCTGGAATATTCTCTCAAAGTAGCTTCCTTCCATTGAAGCTTTTACACCTATCTTTGGGACAGATGCGTTTTTCATAGCCCTGGTACTCCATTGTGTATAGACTTAATTTGATGATTTAAAAAAAATATGATTAGCTGACACTATTTGGCCTGGAGGCATAGCTTATCAGTAGATTGCCTGCATAACAAGCACAAAGTCCTTAGTTCAAACTCCAGTGCAACAACAACAAAAAATTAGCTTACATTAGTGGGGGGGGGGGGGGGTCATTGTTACATCTACTCATGCTTACAATGAATTCCAATCAATCTCATTCCCTCTATCACTTTTGTGATAGACAATTTCAACAGGTTTCACAGTTTCATTTTTATAGCTATAAAAATCTGTTTCAAGCTGGGTGCCAGTGCTCATGCCTGTAATTCTTGCTACTCAAGAAGCTGAGCTGTGAGGTTTAAGGTTCAAAGCCAGCTGGGACAGAAAAGTCCTGGTGACTCTTATCTCCAATTAACCATTCAATAACCAGAAGTGGCCCTGTGGCTCCCAGTGGTAGGGCAGTAGCCTTGAGCAAGAGCTCAGGGACAGCACCCAGGTTCTGAGTTCAAACTCCACAGGGAAAAAAATTGTTTCAACCCATATTTAGCCTACTTCATCCTCCTTGGTAGCCCAACTCCCTCTGAATAATATCCATCCTTTGACAAGGGTCTCTGTCTCTCTTTACAACCCCCATTCCTCTATTGGATAACAGTTTTCAACCTCATGGATGGTGAGTCTGCTCACTTGTGGGAGACTTTGGACCAAGCCTTGCTGATAGATAAGGCAGAATAGAGATAAGGCAGGCTTACACTGCAGGGCTGAGTCTTAAGAGTATAGTCTTTGTTAGGTTTTTAAAAAGAGGTAGCCGAGTAAGAACAGCACCAGCACGCACGTGGTATTCAGGTAAGGGGTAGGTTTATTCAGTAGACCTGCTAGGACCAGGCAAGGTTGGCACTCCACGTGGCTGGGAAAGGCCTGGGAATGAGAGAGAGCTGGGAAAGAGAGGAAAGAGCTAGAAAAGAGCAGAGAGAGGGGTGAGAACAGTAGCACTCACGTGGTATTCAGGTATTCAGTAGACCTGCTGGGACCAGGCAAGGTTGGCACTCCACGTGGCTGGGAAAGAGAGAGGAAAGAGCTAGAGCAGAGAGAGAGCAGAGAGAGCTAGAAAAGAAGAGCAAGAGCAAGAGAGCTAGAAAAGAAGAGCAAGGGCAAGAAACGGACAGAGAGAGAAAGAGGGAGTCTGGGCCTGGGCTAGGCCTTATGTAGGGTATGGGCGGGGAAAGGTGTGGCCACATCAAATTCAGATGTGACCTCAGCGGATGCAGATGTGACCTCTTCCAGGTGTCCCAGTTGCCTAGGTAACGCAGGTACTGGGTGGAGACTTTGCTGCCAGGAGGGTGAAGTCTGCTTGCCATCCAGGGGTGGACCTTACAGTCTTCAAGTCTTTTGTCTTCCTTCTCTATTAAAGATGTCTTAGCTCTAGAAGCTTGATAAAGGCCCTTGATAAAGGTGCCTGGGTTAGGAAGGCAAGTGTGGGTGAGCAGTTTTGATGGCCATTGGGGCATTGATGTATAGCTTACTTTTGTTCTGTGTAAAAGTTCGTGTCATCTCTTCCACAAGGGAAGGAGGGATCCAGGATAACCCAAATCCACATTTCCGGGACCAAGGTTGTTAGTATTAAGCTCACCTTTGGTCCTCAGCTCCACCCACACCTGGGCCCCCTCCCATTCCTGGAGTTCCAGCCATACAGCTGGCCCCTCCCTCTCTCTGCCCAGACCCACCTGAACTCCCATTTACCTCATTTCCTCTCCCCTCAGACCCTCCTCCTACCTGGACGGGGACGGAGGTCATGTGCTCCCTCTTGGGGGAAATATGGCTCCTCTAATAAACCTTAAAATAATCTTTCTCCTGTAGCTGCTTGCCTCTGCATGGTCCCCTGGGATGGATGTGTGGGATCCTTCTCTTTCAATGGTCATTCATACTTGCTTTTGTTTCACTTGGAGCAGACCTGGCTTCACTGTGGTTTCTTTTGGTTGCACTGGGATTTGAACTCAGAGCCTCAAGCCTGCTCTCATTGCTGGCTAAGTTGCTGCTCTACCACTTTAGCCACCCTTTCTGCCCGGCTTTTTGCTATTTTGGAGACGTAGTCTCACACTTTCCTGCCCGGGCTGGCTTGGAACCAGGATCCTCCGACCTCAGCCTCTTGGGTAGCTAGGATGGCAGGCGTGAGCCACTGGCGCCTGGCCAGAACTGTGTTTGTGCAGCTCCACTGGGACTGTCACAGCCTAAAATCACCAGGGATCTGGGGGAAATGCAGCTGCAAACACAACCCCAGAGCCGCCACGCTTCCAGGTCCCAGATGGCGCGCGCGGCGCCCGCGGCTTCCGGCTCCTAGGACCCTGGCAGTGGAAGGGAACGGCGACCAGCGCACACAAGGTGTGCAGCGGCCCGGGGGCGGGGCCGTGGTCCGCGCAGACTCTAACGAAGGGGACGAATCCTCAAAATATCACGATATCTAAACGCTGTGATTCTCGTCTCGGCCAGTCTCGGGGGCCGGACTGCAGGATCAGGGGCGTGGCTATGATACTCTCCCGGGAGCCTGCGGGGTGGGGGCACAAGCCCCTCGAATGACGCAGGAGGCGGGGCGCCACGAGCGCCGCGCGCTCGGGAGTGACGTCAAGGGGGAGTGACGCTAAGCGCCGCGCCGCGCCGCGTCCATCCCTGACGTGAGGGGGCTGGGCCCGCGCCTCCGTGGGGAGCGGCTGGCGGACGCCGGCGCCATGGAGCGCTACGCCAGCGCCTTAGAGGAGTCCACGGACGGAACCCGGCAGCAGGAGCGGCACTACCAGCTGCTGTCGGCACTGCAGAGCCTGGTCAAGGAACTGCCCAGGTGCGCGGCCGGGGGGAGCACCGGGGACCGGCTCCGGCTCCCGGCCCTCGCTCACCGCGCCCCTCTCTCTGCCCGCAGTTCATTCCAGCAGCGCCTGTCCTACACCACGCTCAGCGACCTGGCCCTGGCGCTCCTTGACGGGACCGTGTTCGAGATCGTGCAGGGGCTGCTGGAAATCCAGCACCTCACGGAGAAGAGCCTGTACAACCAGCGCCTGCGACTGCAGAACGAGCACCGAGGTGCGCGGGGGGGCGGCGGGGCGACACACGCGCCTCCGCGCTCGGCCGGTCGGTGTCAGCCCGCCCCAGGGAACGCTCCGTCTCTATGCTGCTGGGTATCCCTGGCCAGAGGCGCCGCAGGTGGGCCAGATCAAGGGTGCCGAGCCTTCTGTAGCGATTTCAGTGACCCGTGGGCCCCCTTGCTTTTTCATCCAGAAAACTTCCTGCTCGGTTTTTTGTTCTTGTCCGCCACAGACCCCTGTGGTAGCTGTGGACCACAGGTCCCTCTCGTTGGTTGAACGACTGTTGACAGCTCTGCAGCACCCGTTACGTTACGTTAGTCGTGGGCACCACACCTACTGCGCTTGTAATTTCCCAACACTTCCTTCCAACACCCTTAGCAACTCTGCGAGCTTCCTACTAGAGACACAGACTTAGCCCCTCCCATAGCTCCTCTGGGCTTGGAAGCTGTTGTACTAGGCAACTACCTGTGCACCATCAAGATTTCCCCTTTCTGCTTATTTTATTTCCTCCAAACCTTTTCTTACAAATAAAGTGCATGCGCTTAGAAAGTTTAACAACAGTATAGTGAATACTCTTGTGCACTCCACCTAGATTCAGCAATTAATCATTTGCCTTCAGCATTTCTCAAGACCAGGATTTTCATCCCAGCACAGTTGACATTTTGACCTGGATAGTGTTTATGGTGAAACATTGTCTTGTGCATCACAGGGTGACAGTGGCACATTCCCTAGTGGTGACAGTCAAACATGCTCCAGACAACCCTTGTGCATCAACCTTGGTTTAGGTTAAGTGCAAGTGCTCTAGAATAAAAAATGCTCCACTATGCAACCATGGTGAAGCATTCCTGACTTTCAGTTCATAGTCACATTTCCTAAGATGTTTGAAATTGTTATTTTATAATTAAGAATCCAGCCAAGTTCATGCACTGCATTTGATCATTGTTCTCTGTTCAATTGATCATTGTTCTCTGCTTCTAGAATTCTCTAAGAGTGGCACTGACCTTCCCCTCCCCACTCCCAGTATTGTGGTTTGAATTCAGAGTTTGCAAAGTAGGTGCTCTACCACTTGAGTCACACCCCAGTCCCTTTTTTCTTTGTTTTGCCATCGGGTCTTGTGTTCTTGCCCAGGCTGTGTTATGCCAAGGTCGCAGGAACCACTCCCCCGCCCAAGAAGACCACCGAGAGTCAGACTCTACAGCTGTTTTATTTAAACGGGCTGCAGCTCGGGCCTCGTCCTACACTCCGACACAGCGACACAGCGGAGCCTAGGAGAGCCCCGAGCTAAGGATTTGCAGGTCTTATATAGGCACACAATCAACTAGGTGTTTTGATTACCACCACGTGTTGCTTTGCTAGACAGAAACAAGCAACACGTGGTGGTCACTGCCTCAAACTTTAACCTTTCAGCTGAAGACTTTGATCCTTGATCTCTGTCTCTCATGTGGCGAGATTACAGTTATGCATCATGATACCTAGTTGCATGCACTGGCTTTTTGGAGAATCCCGTGTATTCTACCTGTGAGTTTGTCCTAGTTTAAGATCTGTCAGCACACTAGGCTGTCATTTAACATGTTTCTCCACACTACTGTTTCGTAAATTGGATGGCAGGTGGAGGTTTGATTAGATGCCTAGTGAATGGGACAAAATTTCTCCTAAAGATGCAAGGTCCCTTCCTTATGAGGGCAGGTGATGTTCAACTTGAACTTGGTGTTTTCAATCAGAAATAGATTTTCTTGAATCCTTTTTCTGCATCTGTTAAGATAAACCAGGTGGTTTGTTACTAGAATGAGTTGCATTGATTTCTGAATTCCTGAAATGAACCGTGTGGTGGGGATAAATCCTGCTTAGTAACAATGTATTTTCATTTATATATATGATATGATTTATGAAAATAATAAGAATTTTTGCCTCTGTTCATGATGACATTGGTTTATCATTTTATTGTAATATTTTTGGCTTGTATGGGTATATAGTTTTCTGGAGGAGTTTACGGTATGGAATTGATATTACTTCCTCCCTAGATATTTAGGAAATTGTGGAAATTTATTAGGAAATTTGTTTTGCCAGTGCTGAGGGTAGATCTCAGAACCTCATGCTCCTGCTTAGTTTTTTACTTACTGCTGCTGCTCTACCACCTGAGCCACACCTCCTCTTCAAGCATTTTGCTGATTAGAGATAAGAGTCTCAGGGATTGGTCTGCCCTCACTGGCTCCCAACTGTTTGATTCTCAAATCTCAGCCTGCAGAGTAACTAGGCTTAGAGGTGTGAGCCACCAGCACCCACCTGCGCAATTGTGTTTTGTAAAAACATTTTGATCAAGGTGTAAGATGCATGTTGTTCACAAATCTAAAGTACATGCCTTATTTTTCTTTAATCTGAATACCCCAGGCTGACCTCAAACTCACAATTCTCCAACCCGCAGAGTCCTAAGGATGCATGCATATACCACCATACCTGACTTGGCTTATTCTTCCTAGTGCTCAAACTGCTCTATTGAGCCAGTGGGGAACTTCAGGCTGGCTGCTGGTACATCCCAGTGTTCTTCCAGCAGTCTTGTTTTCTGGTGCAGAAATGTGTTTGGATTCATTTTCCTTCTTTCTCTGTCTCAGTTCCAAATTGGCTATTTCTCCACGCAGTCCTTTTAGCAGGGAAGTTTTGAAGTAACTGTTTGGACCCTTGCTGTTGGTCCTTTGGAAGTTATTGGGCCAGGAGCGAGGTGTGATCCCAGGTACTCAGGAGGAATAGGTAGGAAGATCATGGTCCAAAGCTTGCCCCAGGAAATTACTATAGTTAAAAAGGGCTGTCCGTATGGATCCAGCATAGAGCACCTGCCTAGCAAGCACAAGGCTGAGTTCAAGCCCAACACCACACACACACACAGACCCCTCCAAAAAAAAGGGGGGGGGGGCAAAGTAAAAGGCTCAGGTCAAGTCAAGCTTTGGTAGGCTGGCAGTGTAGGCCTGTGCTGGTATTCTATCTGTCCTTCAGCAGAGTTAGCAGGCAGTAATTGTAACTGGCTGTCCTTGCTTTCTTTGGGCATTAAGGCTAGGCCCCTTCTGAGCAGGCACTTAGTGTGGCTCTCTCCTTAGTGAGTTTGAGAGTTGATCTGGATTTGTGGCAGTGTTTGATCAATGGAGTGCAGATGACATCTCTACCTCAACTCTTGCTCTACTTCCTGTGACTTTAGACACTTAACTAGAGAGTCTACTTCTTGCCCCAGTGTTCATGATGATGTCTTCTTGGCTCTAGTTTTCATATGTATTAGATGTGATAAATGCCATCATGGAGGTATGTATAGCCCTTATGTGAGTCTCTTCCCAGAAGTACAGTGTTAGGTTTTGAGTTTTCTTAAAACTTTTGTTAGGGTTTTTTTTTTTTAACTATTTTTTTTTTTTGTCTTTTCTTTTTTGGTACTGGGGATCGAACCCAGGATGTTGCACTTGCTAGGCAAGTGCTTTGCCACTGAGTTACATCCCAGCCCTTTCTTAAAACTTTTGAGGAACATGTAGTTGATACCTAAACCAGTAAGGTGTAGGCATTTACTGACTACTTGATAGTTTCTTTCTAGCCCATGCTTACTCTCAGAGTGGACAATTTGCACGAGTCTGTGGTGATCTGTACCCTTTCTGGAGCAACATAGACTCCCTAGCATAAAATCTACGATGGCTCATAGGTTCAATTAGGCTTAACCCTGAGGCCTCTCACCATCTCCTTCCCCTGTCTGCTGTGTGGACACGGTCAAAAGGGAGGGGGCAGCTCTGCCTCTAAGGATGGAGTGACACAGCCACACTGCTGCCAAGCAGTCAGTGACTTGTCCTCATCCCCTCCTTTTCTAGGCCTCTGCCTCTTGAACACAAGTGGGTGTGCCACAGATTCTGGTGTTCCTGGGACTGTGCCATCTAAGCCCAGAAGCCCCAAGGACTCAATCACCAGCTACCACCCCTACCTGCCTGTGATCTTCTGAGCCTGGGCTGCAGCTCTGGACTCACTCCCATGATAGCCTTCCTTGATTCTCTTTCCTTAGTACCCTCCACCTCTGGAGTTCTAGAGATGGAGATGCAGGAAGATGCTGGACACCCTGCCCTGATTAAGGGCAGAACTGGGATACCCAAAGCTCCCCCTACCTCCACCTTCCCAGTACAGGGCTTAGGCAGAGTGGAATCTTTAAGTGGGTCTTCACATCTACCTCTTGGGAGGGTGGGCAGTAATATCCTGAGTCTCCTCTTCACCTTGCTTTGAGGCTGCTCCATTTGCTCCAATGCCTGCTATTGCTGATGGCTCCCGTCCTTTCCCAGTGCTCAGGCAGGCAATGCGACAGAAACATCTGGAAGCCCAGCAATCCTGCCGGCCCCACAACCTGCCTGTGCTCCAGGCAGCTCAGCAGCGAGAACTGGAGGTAGGAGGGCTGGGGCAAGGGGCTGGGAAGTTGGCTCAGTGTTAGAGCGCTTGCCTTGCATGCATGAGGCCCTGGGTTCAATTCCTCAGCACCATATAAGCAAAAAGAAAAAAAAGCCAGAAGTGGCGCTATGGCTCAAGTGGTAGAGTGCTAGCCTTGAGCTGAAGAGCTGAGGGACAGCACTCAGGCCCAGAATTCAGGCCCCACAACCGGACCAAAAAAAAAAAAATAAGTTCAGAGGGCTGGGGCATGATGGCTGGGTCTGGCTCTTTCCTGTGGGTACCTCCTGACTGTGAAAAGGACTTGGGGTAGCTCTGAAGCTGCTGGCTGTTCCTAACCTCAACCTTTCTCTAGGGCTGGGGTGTCACTTCTCTGTGAAATGATAGGCCCTCTGTGAGCCACAGTGGCTCATTGTGAGCTGAGGTCTACACAGCAGGTACTGAATGGGTGAGGAGGAGGGGTCACTGTGCCCTGGTGGCTTCAAGCACATAAGAGTGCAAAGGTGGAATGGTAGTGCTAGCCAAGAAGGGGCCCAGTTTCCTTCCAAGTTGCTCAGTCAGCTGGAGACCCACATACAATCAACAAACCATGGGAGTGGAAGTAAGAATGGCTAGAGATGTGTGGCAGGCCCCAAGGTAGCCCCCAAATTGGGTTTTGTAAAACCTATTGAGGCCTTATGCAGGCAGAAAAGGAAGAGGCCTGGGAGTGGTCCTGGAACCTTTGCTATTGATAGGCAAGGTAACCAGGAGTTTGAGGAGGCAGGAAGCTGAGCTTGCAGCCATCCTTACTTCTTGCCTGCTGCAGGCAGTGGAGCATCGGATCCGAGAGGAGCAGCAGGCCATGGACCGGAAGATTGTCCTGGAGCTGGACCGGAAAGTAGCTGATCAGCAGAGCACATTGGAGAAGGCAGGGGTAGCTGGCTTCTATGTGACCACCAACCCTCAGGTCAGTGCTCAGGCCTGTTCTGCTTACAGCCTGTCTAGAGTTTGGTGTTGCTGGTTTGGGAAGTAGCAGATTGTTTCCTAAAGGTATGGTCTTGATTTGTAGCCCAGGCTTTCTATCTTCCTACCTTAGCCTCCCTATTGCTGGAATTACAGGCATGTGTCATCATCATGCCTAGCAATCTGGCAGTCTGTCTGTTTTTACCACTGATCACTGATGAATGAGGCTCAGAGTCAGTGGTAGATAAGTGTGAGATGGAAGGATGGCTCCAGGGAGGATAGAGGCCAGTCCCACCAGCCACCTTCCCTAGTCCTGCTGCGTCCCACAAGCCCTTCATCTGCTCTCTTCCTGCACACCACACTTGAGTGTGCCATTCTGAGACTCAGTCCTGTTGAGGAAAGAGGCCATGGCCAGCCTCCACTGAGAAGTGAAGCCTGACTTTGCTGGGCACCTCTAGAACCTACTGGAATTTTTTTTTAACCACTTATAAAAGGACACCAGGTGGCAGCCTGATCCCCATGGGTCCCATTTGTTCCCCAGGAGCTGACACTGCAGATGAACCTGTTGGAACTCATCCGGAAACTGCAGCAGAGGGGTTGTCAGACGGGGAAGGCAGTTCTGTGACCAGGTAGAGTCCCTGCTGGCCACCATTGCCAGTATGGCTAGGAATACAGCCTTGCCCACTGTCACCAGAAAGCCAAGCAGAGCTTGTCTTCCTGAATTTCAGTCACTGACTTCTCAGCACCCAGCAGTAGGCACCTGAGGAAAGGCTAGGTGGCCTCTGGTTTTAAGTTTTGTTTTGTTTTGCTTAAGCACTGGGACTATACCATAAAGAAAAGTGAGGCCCAGCCTAGCAGCTGACTGACTGCTTAAAGGCCAGGTGGAAAGCTGGACTGTTGGCTAGCATCTTGTACTCTGGGCATCTCCCAACCTCCCCTAAGCTCCAGGCCCTGGGCTTCTTCTGATCTCGGCCCCTGTCTTGAGAATTGTGGCCCCCAAGTGGGAGAAGCTGCAAGGTTCAGGTCCTGTGTGTCCCTGAGAAATAAAGATAGCTACTTGTACCACACGTGTCTGGTTTCTGTTCTAACTAGAGCTCACATAAGACCCTTTCCCCATAGGGCTTTCTCCACTCTGTTGGAGCCAGCAAGTGGCTGTCTACCTGATGCAGCCACGTGGTGTGAGACCTCAGCTGGGGCTCCCTTGCTCCTAAGATGCCTGTCTCCCACCTTTTCCCCTGCATAGTCTCTGTGAGCTTCCTGGCCTTCCCAGCACTTGCCATGTCCCCAGGCACTGTCATTACTATGTCTGTACAGGAGGCAGCAGGGGTGGAATGAGTGGGAGCACCTGTCACTGACCCAGTTGGTGGCCTGTTGGAGCAGCAGGAGCTTGCTAGGTCACTAGGACTACCAGGTGAAGGTCACAGCATAGCAGATGGGACTGAGGGAGGGAGGGTAGCCCAGCCCCACCCTGTTTGCTGGACTACAGCATCTGCCTGCTTTCTGTACTGGTTGTAGAGTCCATAGGTGGCTGGGTATCATGCAGCCAGTTAGAGGTGTTGCCTGCCTGGATTTCAGGTGGGGCTTCTCCATCCATGCCACTCCCTTTTTGCTGCTCAAGCAAACAGCAAGTGAGGACACCAGCTACAGTTGAGGCTCTCAGCTGCACCGTAGTGATTTATTGACCAGACTGACTTTCCAGTTGGGCCACTGCCCACCTGTGGGGCACAGAGTGCCTGGGTTGGACCTTGGCAGAAGGCGAGTCCTGCAGGTCCAAGGCCATGACAGGCAGCAGAGGTGGGGCCCAGAGTTGACTATGAAAAGGCAGCTCCTTCACAGTTCCTAACAGTCCTAGCAGGAATCAGATTCCACCCATGCCTCATGGCCGGCTTCCAGGCAGGGGGTTGGGCACCAAGGGCACTGGGCACTTTCTTCAGCAGGTCTCAAAGACAGATGTAAAAAGATGAATCCTGTGAGGCTGGGTGGGTGGCGCCTGTGGCAATGGCCTGAGGATCCCCCAGGGCTACCCAAAACCCTTCCTAGGGCTTAGGTCCTTGGGAGGTAATAGCAGAAGGTGTGGTAGTAGCTCAGAAGGCAGTGGCAGCTAGGCTGGGCGGTACAAGAGGCTGCCAGTAAAGAGTCGCCGCTTCAGCTCCTGCCAGAGCAGCTGCCGCTCCCGCTGGGCACCCTTCATGATACCGCTGTTCTCCAGGGCTCGGCGAGACAGGTAAGGTAGTACCTCCATCACAGGGCCATAGGGCACGTACTTGTACACAGAGAAGCCTGCCTGGCCTGCATACAGGATGCATGCAACTAAGTCCTCCCACCCCCCACCAAGGCATTCCTACCCCACCCCACCCAGGAGACCTGGCTCACCCAGTGGGAAGCTGATTTGGTCACACATGCCCAGAAGCTGTCCAAAATACACCTGGTGGTCAGCAGGATGCAGGCCTAGTTCCTCCATCCTGTAAAAGGAGGAGCCAGGCAGGTGAGGGCTGATCTCAGGACACTCTCCCCAAGGCACTTCACAGCCCCCATCTTAGCTCTGACATCCTGTGCTACAGCCTGATCCCACGGCCCTACACTCCAGCTGTGTCTCCTGAGGGATGGGACAACCAGCTCTCCTACAGCAGGACTTGTCTGTTCTCTTAGGCCTGTACTCATGGCCTACAGACTTCCCTCATTCCACTTTTCCTTGCCCTTTATTACTGCCTTTCCCATACATTCTTTGTTTTTTAACCTGGCTAGAAAACTGGAAAACTTAAAAGTACAGCAGTGGCTCACATTCTATTTCTATTAGCATTGTTTAGAAGGTGGGAGGACATTGTTTAGAAGGTGGGAGGGGTCTGGTAGCCTTTCCTGTCTTCATGATACCACTTATGGGACCTATTCACACTTCCAGGTGTAAAACACCTGTGTGGTGATGACTGCTATGCTTTCCCCTGTGTCCAGGGGTCCAGACTTAGTACCTGCACTCCAGGCACCCCTTGGGGTATGGTCAGCTGAGACCTTCTCTCCCTACCTCATTCCCAATCACCATCCCAGGGTCCCCAGAGAACCCAGGACTGCTCAGCTAGTTTGTACCACAGGTCCTTCTTTCCCTGGGCTGGGTTCCAATGTGAAGTCTCAGGTGATTGTGTAGGGAGGGCTCCTGCCCTTCCCCTGCTAGAGTTGCTTTCCTCCAGTTAATTACAGTCAGAGTCAAAAGGGGCACTCCGTGAAAACACCTCCCCCGGCCAGCCCTGCAGTTCCACGCTCCTTCAGGAGGCCCTACCAAGTATCTGGATGTTAGACATGAACTTGGGACTGTTCCACTGTGGGCTGGATCCCCCGCCTGCCTCTTAGGAGGGTGAGAGCCAGCAGGTTTCTGCCCAGGCTCCACCAGGCATTTGATGATTCCAAACTCTGGGGAGATGGGGACCAAGAAAAGGGGGAAATGAGAGCCCTGGTACAGGTGCTGTTGGGGCTGAGGTGTGAACTATGGGAAAGTAAGGAAAATACTGGAGTGTGAAGAAATTTACTCCACCTATTTCTCTACTTATTCGAATTCTACAAGTTGTGCTCCATGGGATAACAAAGAGAAAACAGACTATATTAAATTTCAAGTACAGTTTAAAATGTTCAAGAAAGCTGTCTATAGGTGGCCCAATAGAGAACCTTCTGAGCGAGGGGTACTGATATTTAACAGGCTGGACATTTCAATGAGCTATTTAAATCACCTTGCAAAATTTATTTTTTTGAATAGAATTTCAAAACTTTAATAAGTTGGGGGGTTGTTTGTTTGCTTTTGTCAGTCATGGGGCCTGAACTCAGGGCCTGGGTACTGTCCTTGAGCTTTTTTGCTCAAGGCTAGCGATCTACTGCTTTGAGTAACAACACCACTTCCAGTTTTCTGGTGTTAATAACTGGAGATGAGAGTCTCAAGGACTTTCCTGCCTGGGCTGGCTTCAAATCATGATCCTCATATCTCAGCCTCCTGAGTAGCTAGGATTACAGATGAGCCACTGGTGCCTGGAAGTTGGGTATTCATTTTAAAGACTAAAGTTACTACAAATTACCTTAATGCTGCAGAACAGCATTAAGAGTGCAATTTGGGCCTGGAGCCCATGGGGTGCTATGAGCTGTGCCGTTCATTCCAATGGCACCTGGCGGATCTCCATGAGTTACTTGGACCCTGGGCCACTACCAACTCACCCCAACCACAGAGACCCTGACAGCTGGGGCAGGCAGTGCTTACCTCTGTAGGGTGAAGCGCACTGTGTCCTCATTGTGTGATGCCACCATCACCTCAGCCTTGCCATTGTGCTTCAGCTCTTCCAGGACATAGTTGAGGCACCTGGGGAGAGTGCCACATGAGCCTGGCCCCCACATCTGAACTGCCCACTCTTATCTCTCATTGTGGCCCTGCTAGGAAAGGAGGCCCTGCAGGCCCAGAACTATCCAGGATGGCCCCCACAATCAGGAGAAACAAGAACAGCACTTAGCCCTCCTCAAGACCTTACGAATGCAAAGTACTAGCAACCAGGAAAATGAACGATAGCTGGGATGAGACAGTACATAGAGAACAAGCTGGGCACAATGTTTCCTCATCAGACCATCCACCACTCCACCCCCCTTCCCACCTCCCCCCCTTGCTTGCTGCCTGGATCTGCAGCTTTGCTTCTGGAAAGGGACCCTACAATCCTGTCCTGACTCTGAGGAAATAAAGAGGGTCCCTGGAAGCTTTAGGTGGGTTGGGGACCCCTGTACACCACAGAGAAGCAGTGTCACTGTCATACATTCAGGACAGCAGGCTTGACAGTACCAATTCTGAACCAGCAATTGCATTTCTTGGCTCACACACAGAACCTGATGGCCTGAGTGGCTAATGAGGGACAGGATGTTCACCAAATTCCTACTGTAATAACAGGAAAGACCATAGAGCCTGGACACATAACCTTGGGTGTCCCATGCTGGAAACAGTGCCACTCTCTATGCTGACATAGAAGATAGAAGGTTGAATGAGAAAAGCAAGGGGCAAAGAACAGGGTGTACAATGTAAATACTCATGGGGCTGATGTGCATGGTACCGCACATGTGCCCAGCAGGCTCCTAAAATGGGTGTTGCCAGGAAAAGGATATGGAGCCAGCAAGGAGACACCAGGATCCCTTTGAATTCACCATAAGCAGACATAACCTCTGAGAGGAAAAGCATGACATTGGACTGCTTGTGCTGCTCCAAAGATCCCTGAGCTAAACAGCAAACACAGTCAGGGCACAGCTGCTGCTCATCCACTGTGTGGGCCCCAGTTGGGGGCATGGGAGAGGCCAGGTGCTTAGTGCACATCAAAGGAGCCAGCCAGGGGAAACTGAAGCCAATTCTATTCTTGAAAGTTATAATCCTTTTTGAAAAAGTGACATAAAATTAAGAGGAAATATGACTTATGCCTACATCTCCCACTCCCTGCCACCGAGCTTCAGCAGAATGGGGTCAGCACAATACCAGTGTCTCATGAAATCTTGTTCCCAATCTACAAACACAGACATAGGCTGGCCAGCTCACCTGTGATACATGTCATTGGTGGCTTCATATGTGGGATTGATGGGATCCTCATAGCCGATTTCTGCTGCACGAGCACGTTCCTGGGCCATATATGCACCACGTACCAGCTTGGCCCCAAAACACCAGCCCTCACGGCGAGCCAGCTCTACATCTAGGGTTACATTGTCATAGGCATCCTGCAGGGGATGTGGGCAGAAAGAAATGGCCATTCTTCAAGCTCAAGGCAAGTCAGGTGGCCTCCAAGAAAGCTGTTTTCTTCTTGCCCTCACACTTGTCTAAAACCCATGGCTCAAAAGAGGGGCTTGGTGATAAGGGTCCCATGAGGCCTTGCTTCCTACTCGGAGCCAGTCATCCTTGCCTTGGCCTCCCTGTAAGACAAGGCGTGGCTGCTGAGTCAGGGCCTCTTTCCTGGACAGTAGGCCTAATCTGAGATTAGTGGCCTGCTCCTTCTTCCTGTCCTACCCACCTAGTCTCTTCTCAGGGCAGGGTCAGGTGGATGCTGCAGGGCACAGAAGAGGCCCTC